CCAAAAGGAAATAATTCTACCCTTGGACTTACATATTTGATTTCTTTCTACTGTATATTTCTCACCCTTAGTGGTGCATCAGCTTTTGTATTTAATTGCTTGCAATTATTTTCACAGAAAAAAATAATAGAAGAATGATAACTAAGGACATCCATCCACTTCCGAAATATTTAGTTATGGCTTTCAATCATTATAGATAAGAGATTCTCAAAGTCCAGGAGCTTCAAGAGCTCCACAAACTCCAAAGGAAAAAAAAATATCAAGAACCACTGTTCCACTTCCAATTATGATTTTAAAAATGCTTATGATCTTCTGAATCCAGTTTCCCCCTGCAATTTTTATCCCATCCTGTTAATGGTAGAAATGACCATGTGTAAATTTTCTGGCAAGTGCACACACACATTTGCAACTCCCCAAAAACTCCACCTTGCCTAAGAGCCCTTTGTGACTCTTACCTCTCACAGATAAACCTACTGCTCCATCCCTTTTGTTGGCCCCCTTCCAATTCTTCCCACATTAAATTTCCCTTTCACTTCCTCCGGCTAACCGTTTCTTGCCTGCTTATACATAGGAACCTACCTAAATTGTGGTGAGACAAAAGGCTTTTCACAGCTTGCTTGCAGTGCACAGAGCTGAGTTCAAAGGCATTTTGCAGCAGTTAACACCCTGCAGTGCTGATTGGCAGAGCCCCCGCCCCTTGGTGCGGACTGACAGAGACTGGGGTAGGGGGAGGGAAGAGGGGTCAACTGCCATTTTGACTGCCTGCTGCCTTTTTGCAGCCCCGCCCCTTGGCGCTCATTGGTGGAGAGGCTCTGGCAGGGGGGGAGGGGTTGAGGGAGCAGCCTTCATCTTGTTTGCTGCCCTTTGTGCCACCCTGCCAGCCACTACTTTCCCTTCCCAGCAGTGAGAACTGCTGGCTCCCACTGGGGAGCCAGCATTATATATGTATTAATTTTTTGTTGTTTGCACAGATTTCATGGACAATCCCAGATTTCATAGTTTCTGCGAAATCCGCAAAATTGAGAATTAAGAAGGTCCTTATTTATACATACTTACTGTCATTGGCCACTATGTATCCTACCAATAGCCCTTGGCTTTAGACTCACACAACCATCACTTCCTCCATTTCCTGCTTAAAGATTCCCATCTACTTCCTCTTACAAGCATCAATGCTCACTCTCAGATTCTAGCTTAGTTCCTGAAATTATTAAAGGTCTTGAAGCTAAAGGCATTTCAGTCCTTAAAGAAATGCTGTTACTGCTAAACTTATAACTTTTATAAGGAAGAGTCATAACCACTGAGCCTTGTATTGAAAGGAGCCAAGCACTAAGTTCTAAGACCTTAAATAGGAAAAGTTTATACTAAAACAGTTGAGCCTGTGCCCTAAATTCTCATGCATTTTAGATGAGACAGATCCATTTAAAAAAAAAAAAAAATAAAGCTTAGTTCAAACATTTAACTGCACACGCATACGCTTTTAACTCTAGATTCTCTGTTATAGTCAATGAATTTTAAATGCAACTTGGAAGGAGTTCAAGGCTGCCCTTCACATTTTATTAATCCTGAGCATGCTGTCTTCTGTACCACCTCTCTTACATAACTTGGAACAACCCAAAATGGTGTTATGGGGCTCTAGCAGGTTGCCAGTTTATATTGGAAAGTCTCTTATTTCCCTGGGCAAACTTGCCCCACAGGACATGCCCAAGTTACAACAATATGGAAAAATCTGTTGATTCTTCAGTGACTGCCTGAGCTTTGTCATTGCTATCCATATGTAGTCAGTCATAAGGCTTTATTGATAAAAGTCAAATCCTCAAGCACTCAGTACAACATAATAAAGAATCAAAGCAAACCCTGTGGTCTTTTCCCGGACGCTGGGAAAGTCCCTGGCTCAGCATTGCAGCTAGTAGAAACTCAGCCTTCTCCCTCTCTCTCTCTCCTTTGGACATAAAGCAAATCATCTTTATAGTTTGAAGGCCCAGGGCCTGGAACAGATTCCCCCCAGAGGTGGTACAATCACCTAGTCTGGAAATCTTGAGAAAAACATCTGGATGCTCACCTTACTGGAGTCATCTGCCCCCAGCAGTCTTTCCTGCCCAAGCGCAGGGGGGCTGAACCTTATGATGTCCCTTCCAGCCCCTAACATCTATGAATTTATGAATCCCCTAGCTCCCTTCCCTGGGAGCCTTTTAACTTGAAAGAGACTTGGGGGTCATGATTGACCACAAGATGAGCA